GAGAGGGCCCCCCACAACCTCAGAGAAGAGCTGGGCTGCTCTTAGGTTGTTTGTCCCTCGGCTGTGCCCGGACTTGGCCTGTATTCTCAGAAGTGTTTGAACTGTTAGGTCAGTTATATGGGAAGTTACGGTTGCCAGGTTACAGCTGAGCAAGGAACACAACCTTGACCAAAGCATCGGTGTATCGATAATTGGCACCATCACAGCTTATTGAGTGAAACAAGGAAATAGGTTTCTGGATGGTAGCAGCTGTAGTCACTGATTTCTGGCGAATTCCTACAGAATTAGTGGGAGATACAGCCTGGTCCTTCAGCCGCTGTGTGAGCTGTGTGTGCACCTTGCACGTTACCCTGGTGTGGGCTCCTGGGCTGGGGGAGGAGGGAGTCGCCGGTCTCAGTGACCCTGTCCTCCCTCGGGGCTAGAGAGGGACCTGCAGACCTACTAGGTGGTCTGGCCTGTTGTCGAGGCTCACTCAGGGCCTGATTAGTGTGAAGGATCAAGATAAAGGAACCCTTTTCTTAGCATTTTCTCACAGCGAGGGGCTGACAAGTGGCATGTCGTTCTTGAGATTCTATGACTCCATTTATCTTGTTTTTCCTTCAAGACTGTACACTTAGACCTTCACACAGGTATATGTGTTTACACATTATTATTCTTATCACTGGTACTGTTATTTTGAACCCTAAGTATTGCCAGAGTTGGGGCCCCGGCCTCTTTGTCCCTCTTTCCTAAGAGAGAAGTTCCGAGGCAGTTTTAAACTCTACAAAGCTGACATCTGCCCCCAGCTGATTTAGAAGTGAGGAAGCCTGAGGCTGACTTGCCCAGCTAAACCTGCGTGGTATTTGGAATGGAACTACAGTGAGAAAATTTTTTCCTGATAAGCATTTCAGACTGAAGTGGGGGTAGAAGCAGAGGTCAGTTGGAGAGAAAGAGATGTGATTTTTTTTTTTGTTTGTTTTGAAGAGGTCAGGGTGGAGGCCCTGAAAAGGCTAACTGAGGAAGGGAGCATGGGTGGTGGAGGAAGCCAAGGCCTTGCCTATAGTGTAAGGGGAAATAAAGACAGGAGAAGACCAGAGAAGCCAAGTCCTTCTTTATTTCTTTGAAGACATCTAAACACAGGAGATGCCAGATCCTTTTTCTGTGAGAATCAAACTAAATGTGAAATATTGCATTATTTATACCTAAGAGCACTTTGTATTTGAAGGAAAGATAAGGGTAGACTTGAGTTACAGCCACGAATCTGTTGAATTTCTTTAAAAATGCTTCAATGGGGCTTTTCCTGAGGACGCAAAGGATTAAAGCGCAGCACTGTGAAGCTAGCTGAAGCTTCTGCAGCACCAGTTCGATCCCCAGGCAGGGAGCTGACCCACATGGCGCGGCAGACCTCTCCTGTCCCACCCGCTGCTCCCCTCAGCAGTGTGTTTGTCTATCCACTTGTTCTGCTCCCCAGTCTTGTCTCTGGTGAATCCTCTCACCCCTGTCATCTGTGGCCTGTACCCTAGTTCTTATAGTCATAAATAAATAAATCTTTAAATAGGATTCAGTGGCCAGATCCTGCTAGAAAATAGTGATGAAATAGTCTTAAAAGAGAAGAATAGTGGCCTCGTTTTATGGAACATTTGTCTAATCCTGTTAAGATGGTCAGCCAACTTTGATTTTCCTTGAAATAGGATTATTATGATTTAGAGTATTGATTTTCATTAAAAATGTTAGTTTTTCCATGTAAATGGGAAGCTGATGGCTGTTACTGGTCATTTGGGCTTTGCTTGTGGATGCGGAGCCCTGGCCGGATGTGGGCTTGTCTCTCAGTGGGTGACTTGAAGCTGGCCTTCAGCTGCTAAGGAAAGCTGTGCCTGTCTCGCTGCCCCTTCTCTGGCCGGAAATTGGGTAACAGCCACGGAGAGCTGTTCTTCACGAAGGATTTGCTGGTTGCAAAATATGGGAAGTCTGATTAAGGAGTGAATAGAGTTTTTCTTTTGACTTGATAACTTTTGACTTCTGCCAACAAAGATGAAATTGCTTAATACAATTTTCAGAGGCTTGGTAGAAAGGAAATGTTTTGTCTGTTATAGGAGGGACTAGAGTGGTCACGTGTTGGATTTCTTTCAGTTTCCTTTTTTGTAAACAGGCTGGCATTCCCCCCTCTCCAGCCCCTGGTATTTTCAGTGTCTTTGGGTGAAAGGATTTTATACATTAAGCACAAATGCTCCTAGTAAATTGCAGGTTATTTATATGGGGTTTAGTATTAAATTACAAGACGGCCAGTGCCTTTAAAGGAGGATATATTTTATAGGATATAAATGAAAGACATTGCTACAACTGAAGCCAATTCTGCTTGAAAATCAAATTTCTTGAAGAGAAGCGATGCTAAAACGAGACATTTCCATGTTATCTTTGAAGAGAGACTTTTGTAATATCTAAGCAGGTAGTAGTTTTTCAGCAGTGCTTAGCAACTGAGGTGAAAAAAAATGAAAACTTTCCAAGTATAAACTTTTCTCATTCAACTTGATGTAATGAAGTTAAGAGTGAAAACATTTTTCTTCCCCGAGAGAAAAATTTGCTCTGGCCTTCCAGAATGTTATGAAGGAAAGGGTAATGGGCACTGTGACTATGGGTATGAAATAAAATTCTATAAACTGAAAAAGAAGCGTGCAGTTATTGCGAGCGGTGTTTATCACCCCCATGGCAGAACCCCGGAGCGGGAGCCCACCCCGCAGAGACTGGCTTTCAGACAGGCTCTGGCTTTTATGCCCCCTGGGCCGCACTTTGCCTGGCCAGTCTGGAGTCAGGTTGCCTTCAGGGGAACTGGGAGGACCAGCACACGCACGGCTGGTGCACTCTGACCTCCTTAAAGTGCCGGAGACCTGCAGGGGCTGGGGGCGGCTCTGTTAGTTTGTAAGAATACCTGCCAGTGGCCCAACAAGTTTTGTCTCACACGGGCCTTCCTTTCGCCATTCCTTGGGGTGTGTGCCCTGCACCTGCCTCTGTGAGCATTTGAACTGTGCCCTGCATATTTCCTGAGCCGACTGCCCTCTGGGAAGAACACGTGAACCTCGATGACGTTTGGCTCACCAGGACCTTAAGGAGGGGACAGATGACACTATCCCCAGCAGCAGAACAGAAAGAGTCTGGGAGAAACCAGCCAGCACAGGCTTCCAAAGCCTGTGCTGTGTAAGTGGTGGCGTCAGAAAACCCACCTGTCAGCGCCAGGGGGCTTGGGGGCTTTCGAGTCTCTCTGACATTTCGGGAATCCGCACATTTGGGTCACCAGGGCTGGTCAGAGAGAGAGCAGAGGGCCTTGGGGGTGGGGGTGGGAGGCTGGGGGCATGTCAGCAAGTCTGCGGGCTTTTCTTTTTTTCCAATCTGAGTTTTCACATAGCGCTGTGAGTCGAAGTCTATTTCCAGCAGCAGCGGGATGCTGGAAAACAGAAGTGGCGACTTGGCAGGGCTTATTCCTCGGTGGGTGGCCCTCTCCCTCCCCACACCTTGCACGGTAAATGTCTGAGTTCAGTTCAGAAACAAAAATCATGGCCACACACTTTCACACTGGGTATGACCTCTGGGGATTTTTTTTTTGTTAAGTATCCGTTCAGGAGGGTTAATGTTTTGTCTCCTTTTCTCTTGCCTCAAGTTTATTCTCTGCCTGGCCCTGCGGGCGCCCACCTGAGAGAAAGTGGCCTCTGTTTCCTCTGGGCAGATCATGCAGGGGATTCTTTAGGTCTGTATCTCGTACTGGGACGCACTAAGAGGAGGTGATTACTCTTAAGCTCCTATTGAAGCATAATTACATTTCACCCTCAGCGGTAGCCTCTCCCACTATAGCCTTGCACGGGTTCGGGCTTGTCCCAGAGAGTGCGTGCGTCGTGCGTGCGTGAGGGCGTCGCGGCAGCTCGGAGGGATTTCTGGTTCTTGTGTGTTTCCACGTCCTGTATCTGGTCACCTGAATAGAAGTCCTTCCTACCTTGACCCTCGCCTAGGTACTTTCACTAGGAAGACATGGTGCTTTGTGTACTCTCCAAGGGAAGAAAGGGTGAAAGTACTTTAGAAAACGGCTTCTCAGAGATTTAAAGCAGGATTAAAGGAGGAAGACAGTGAACACTGGCATTTTACTGATAAGGAAGTCGTCCCAGCAAGGGGTCTTGCAGTGAGGATTTCCAGGTCAGCATGTGGGGGAGGTCACCCGAGGTCGCTTGCAGCCCTCTCCCTCAGTTTCTTGCTGCAGCTTTTCCTTTCTCCCCTGGCCCCCTCCTTCTCATTCCTATTTTTGTTCCCCTCTTCTCTTTCCTTCTTTATTTCTCTTCCCAGCTGCTTACCTCCATCCACCAGAAGATTCCAGAAGATTCAGACAGGCGCCTCGTTTTCTGAGGGTCTCAGAGTGGGTGAACTGGGCTGCTCTCCTGTGGCAAACCAGTGCTGTAGCCCCTGACTTGGAGCATGTTAATTATTTGGCATTTATGGTGCAGAGGCAACTGGAGCGCGTGCATGTGTGTCCACACCCCTCACACCACGCGTGGCGCATACCAGAAAGTAGTAGAATCGTAAGACGTGACGCTCTGAGGACTCGGAGGAGAAAGAACTCCCCTTTAATGGAGGCTTTATCTGGCCCCAGTCACTTTTCTTCTGCAGGTGGGGTGAAGGCCCCCTTTAAAGGCCCTACGCACGGCGTGTATTTCTCGGTCCTTCATCTTTTATAAACCTGTGACTGCATCATCTGAAAACCCTCCACGGTTACCAAACCCGGCTTTGCTGGGCGTGAATGAGGCTTCATGGGCCGTGTTGTCCACCTGGACTAGCCCAGAGGCAGAGCCTAGGCCTTCTCCTCCCAGCCCTCAGCCTGCGGGTGGGTGGCGATTAGGAAGCAGCCCTGCTCCCTTCACCACTCAAACCACTCAGCTGGGGGGGGGGGGGGTGAGCGCCTTCTGCCTGATGTGATGGAGGAAATTAGGATTAAATAAAAACTGATGGAATCAGCTCCTTAGAGGTTGTTCCCTAAATCCCAGGTGGAACTCCGCCGGCAGTATCTCCCCGATGCTTGGCTGGGCTGCTCATTTCTTCTGCGAATGACTTGAAATCTGTAATTGGTTTTTTAACGGTAAGATGATCCTTCTAATGTGAGAGCCCACGTCTGAGAGTGACTTTATAAGAAAGTGATCATGTTGCTAGTGGAATTAAGCACTGTCAGGATGAAAATATGTTAGCTCTTTGTGAAAACAGTGGGATTAACTCAGTGACAAAGGGTGTATATTTTCTAGCTGTCCACACCCAATCCAAGCAGGATTGATTCCCATGCTATAGCGGTTTCGGTGGGCCCGGTTCTTGTTAGACACTGGCCAGGCGCGCCCCCCCCCCCCCCCCGTTTTAGAGCAGGGCCGGAAGCTGTGATCCGGGGGACTGTAGCCAGGTTCCCCGATGCCTGTCGCTACAGGCGGGAGGTCCAGCAGCTCTTCCATGGGAATCATGACGCCCGTGCAGTGCGGGCCCTGTGGGGGATGTGCCCTTCCCTGCCCCCGCGGCTTGCTGACAGAGCTCTCTGTTCCTTCCGCAGAACGTCTGATTAAATCCATGACCATGGGGGATATGAAGACCCCAGACTTCGACGACCTCCTGGCAGCGTTTGACATCCCAGACATGGTCGACCCCAAAGCTGCCATCGAGTCCGGACACGACGACCAGGACAGCCACATCAAGCAGAGCGCGCACGTGGAGGAGGACGCCCACGCGCCGTCCTCCTCCGACGTGGGCGTGAGCGTCATCGTGAAGAACGTGCGCAACATCGACGCCTCCGAGGGCGCCGAGAAGGACGGCCACAACCCCACGGGCAACGGCCTGCACAACGGGTTTCTGTCCGCGCCCTCCCTCGACGGCTACGGCAGAGACGGCGCCAAGCCCCTGAAGGGGGACGGGCCTGCCGCAGAGGGGGCGTTGAAGGACGCCGCGTTCAGCCAGTTCAGCCCGATCTCCAGCGCCGAAGAGTTCGATGACGACGAGAAGATAGAGGTGGACGACCCCCCGGAGAAGGAGGAGGTGCGTGCCGGCTTCAGGTCCAACCTGCTGGCGGGGTCGGTGCCCCCGCAGAACTACGAGAAGCTCAAAGCTCTCGGAGGGGAGAACCTGAGCAAAGCCGGAGTCCCGGCGCCGGGCACGACAGAGAAGAACAAAGTGGTTAAGAGAGACACAGAAACCAATTCTATAAATCTCAGCGTTTACGAGCCTTTCAAAGTCAGGAAAGTGGAGGACAAGCTGAAGGACAACTCTGAAAAGGTGCTGGAAAACAGGGTCCACGAGGGGAAGCTGAACCCTGAGAAGAACGACGGCACCCCAGGCGCGCCGCCGTGCAGGACGAAGCCGTCCTCCAAGCTCTCCTCCTGCATAGCCGCCATCGCGGCCCTCAGCGCCAGGAAGGCGGCGTCCGACTCCGGGAAGGAGCCGGCCGCCCACTCCCGGGAGCCCTCCCCCTCCCCCAAAGACGCCAGCGACAGCCCCAGGGCTGTTGAGAAGTCTCCCGAACCCCAGAGTCTCATCGATGGGACGAAAAAAGCCCCCCTGAAGCAGCCGGACAGCCCCCGGAGCATCTCCAGCGAGAACAGCAGCAAGGGCTCCCCCTCCTCGCCCGCGGGGTCGACACCAGCCATCCCCAAAGTCCGCATAAAAACCATCAAGACGTCCTCCGGGGAGATCAAGAGAACCGTGACCAGGGTGTTGCCGGAAGTGGATCTCGACGCTGGCAAAAAGTCTTCCGAGCAGACGGGGTCAGTGATGGCCTCCGTGACGTCGCTCCTGTCCTCTCCTGCTTCGGCCGCTGTCCTGTCTTCACCCCCCCGGGCGCCCCTGCAGTCCGCGGTGGTCACCAATGCGGGGGCCCCTGCAGAGCTGACCCCTAAACAAGTCACTATCAAGCCTGTGGCCACCGCCTTCCTGCCAGTGTCCGCCGTGAAGACGGCGGGCTCGCAGGTCATCAATTTGAAGCTCGCTAACAACACGACAGTCAAAGCCACGGTCATCTCGGCGGCCTCTGTGCAGAGCGCCAGCAGCGCCATCATCAAAGCCGCCAACGCCATCCAGCAGCAAACCGTCGTGGTGCCCGCCTCCAGCCTGGCCAACGCCAAGCTCGTGCCAAAGACCGTGCACCTCGCCAACCTTAACCTTCTGCCTCAGGGCGCCCAGGCCACTTCTGAGCTCCGCCAAGTGCTAACCAAACCTCAGCAGCAAATCAAGCAGGCAATAATCAACGCGGCGGCCTCGCAGCCCCCCAAAAAGGTGTCTCGGGTCCAGGTGGTGTCCTCCCTGCAGAGTTCCGTGGTAGAAGCTTTCAACAAGGTGCTGAGCAGCGTCAACCCCGTCCCAGTTTACATCCCTAATCTCAGCCCTCCTGCCAACGCTGGCATCACGCTGCCCACCCGGGGGTATAAGTGCTTGGAGTGCGGCGACTCCTTCGCCTTGGAGAAGAGCCTGACCCAGCACTATGACCGGCGCAGCGTGCGCATCGAGGTCACCTGCAACCACTGCACCAAGAACCTGGTTTTCTACAACAAGTGCAGCCTCCTCTCGCACGCCCGGGGGCACAAGGAGAAGGGGGTGGTGATGCAGTGCTCCCACCTGATCCTGAAGCCGGTCCCGGCAGATCAGATGATCGTTTCTCCCTCAAGCAATACTTCTGCTCCCCCCTCCGCTCTCCCGAGCTCTGCAGCAGCTGGCACACACACTGTCGCAAAAATCCAGTCTGGCATCACAGGGACGGTCATTTCGGCTCCGTCGAGCACGCCCATTGTTCCGGCGATGCCCCTGGACGAGGACCCGTCCAAGCTCTGTAGGCACAGCCTGAAGTGTCTGGAGTGTAACGAGGTTTTCCAGGACGAGACGTCACTGGCGACCCATTTCCAGCAGGCTGCAGACACGAGTGGACAAGTAGAGTATCATTTCCGTCTAGGTGTTTCGGTGGTGACCTGTTCCCGTGGATACTCTGCACGGTGCCCTTGATTTTAGGGGTGGGCGCACAGTTAATTGGGGGTGTGTGTGCGTGTGAGTGTGTGAGGGGTCGGGGGGAAGCCTGTGCACTCACAAGTACAGGAGAAAGGTTTGTTTTCATAGAGTAGAGCACTGTTGGAAGGTGAGTTTTATTCTAAAAACAATTTTGGGGAAAGACGACTCTCTTAGAAACTCGCTGAGTTGTGTGTGGCATCCGAGACTTAGGGTACGTGAAGGCATGGTGCCATCTTAATATCCCTTGCACCTGAGATGCAGTTGGAGTGTCACTGTGTTCAGTTCATCACCAGTATACGGAATCATGAACGGTCATTGTGGGAACTAAAAAATTTCCTGTTAGAAGAAGAGTCTCTTATAGCTGAAATACCCACTTGGATGGTGCGCCCGCTTACGTTTGCCCTAGATGTTACGTTGGACCCGAAGTTTATCTGTATTGTTCATTATTGCAGTGAATTTAAACTGCAGCGGGCACTGTTTCTGTTGAAGCAGCCTGCAGCTTTTGTTTGTGGGGAAGCGTAGATTGGTCGGAGAGACAACGCACAGTGGGCCTCAGTTGGCCCTGTGTCACTGCTTCTTTCCATGGGCTGACTTCTGATCATCAGATAAGTGTGTTCTGCAAATACTTGTTCTGTATCATCATGCAGTAGCTGGGTGTGTTGAGTGAAGCTAGTTCAAGCCAGAGGCCTTGTAAGTTATGTCCCAACCGGAAAGCTTACGGAATGGAGAGGGGGCGCCCGTTTGAGCCGATCGACTGGCTCCGAGTCCTGCCTGGGAAGACCCTGTAAACCCATCTTTTCTTCGCTTGCCTCTTGTATCTTGTTAACTGCAGGTTTCTATTGCGATTTGTCTGTGTAGTCCACGGGCAGCCGTAGGATATTTACATCTCCATTACAGGAGTGGGGGAACCAAAGGTCCAGAAGGCCTTAATTTTTTCCCCTTCTGGAAATTCAGTTTATTAGAAATGGGAATGATAAATTTTTGAGAACATTTTTGCTGCTTTGGATGTTCCCTTTTTGTTTGTTTGTTTGTTTTTGAAGATTTATTTGTGCATACAGAACTGGGTATAGGCCAGTGGTGCAGGGGCGGTGAGAGGATTCACCAGAGACAGAGTGGGGAGCAGAACCGGCAGACTGACGAAGTACACTGCTGAGGGGGGCAGCGGGCAGGCCAGGAGAGGTCTGCCGCGCCATGGGGCCACCCCCGGGGTGGGGATCAAACTCGCACTGAGGCGGCTGCTGCCAGCTCACAGTGCTGTGTCCTAACCCTTTGCGCCACCAGGGAGGGGCCTGAATGTTCACTGTTTATCATGTCTGACAGTGTAACAGGTGGCTGGTGGTGCTTTGGTTCTGCCTGACACCCCCCTTCCCTGCGACCACGTCATCAAGGGGCTGCATTAAAAACAAACGTCGCCCTGGCCACTCTGTCCGTCCCGCTTATTCTGTTGCAGGCAAGACGGCCTTGCTTCTGAGGGCTCTCACCGCCTCCCCTGCCCGCTCGTGTGCTGCCCTCAACTGTGTCCCTTGTCTTTGGGCTCCCCTCTTCTCTAGCAAGGAGGGAGGATGTGGGCAGGAAGTAGGAATTTTCCTTTTTCCCAGTTTTTGTTCTGGTAGCTGTTTAGATTTGACAGCCAAAATAGGGTGTCGGGCACGTGTTCTCCCTTGCAGGGGAAGGGTGGTTGCTGAGTCATGGAGGGCTGTGCCTTCAGGTGAAGGCCAGAGGTGCATCGAGGCCACATTCGCCCCTTTCTCCAGCTGCCTGGCCACGCACCCACCTCGGTTGTCTCCCAGTGTGACTCAGGTTGCAGCAGCATCTGCATATTCAGGCGCGAGGGGACAGGCCGCATGCAGGCTCCGTGCCACACTCCTCCTGCTCCCCATTTCCCTGCTCCTCCTGGCAGCCTGGCCCAGAACACCCCTCCGCAGTTTCCTGGTCTCTGCGGACTCGGCCCGTGGGCCCTCAGCAGTCGTCGCTGGTGTCTCGCTCAGCAGCCTGAACTGGCCCTGCTGCTGCCGTGGCTCTGAAGCTGTTACCTCAGGGTCCTCCGTGGGCGATGGACCCGGTGCCCTTCTCTCATTGCTTTTTAGCTGTTGAGTTTGCTTGGCATAGAGATTCTGGTCACTATTCACTTTTTAAAAATTTTACCTGATAATTTGAAAATGTTCTGTGCTGATGTCCTGTGTCTTGTCAAATCATTTAGATTTTTAAATTAACTTTGAACTGTAGAATGATACCATAGCTAGGATACTGACATCGGTGTGGTGAACATGCAGGATATTCCTTTTTTATTGCTGAGTAGTATTCCATCATATAGTCATACCACAGGGTGTTTAATCAGTTGCTGAAGGGCTCTAGTTCCCGTTTCGGGCTATTGTGAATAAACATTCTCTACAGATTTTTCATGTGAACCTAAGTTTTCATTTCTCAGGGTAAAAGGTCCAGGTATAGGTCATGTAAGAGGTCATGTATTTGTATTCTGAAGAAACTCCATGAGCAGGGCGTAAGTAATTCAATTTCTCTGCATTCTTGCCAGCATTTGGTGGTGGGAATCATTTTTATTTTGGCCACTCCGATAGGTCTTTAGTGATACCTTGTGGTTTTAATTTGTATTTCCCCTATAGTGAATGATAGTAAACCTCTTTCCATATATTTATTTGACATGTGTATTTTGATTTTGTTGAAATACCTCTTTATGTTGCTTGCCCTTTTTTAGGTAAAAGTCCTTTTTAAATTTTACTTTGAACTATAACAGTGCTTAATATCTTCTAGATGAAGGAAGTATCAGTACATGTCTTTTCTTAGTCTGTGGCTTTGTTTTCATCTTAAAGATCTTGGGCACAACTCAAGTTTCTAGTTTTGATGAAGTTCAATTACCAGTTTTCTCCTGGGGCTTGTGTTTTTGGTGTCAGGTTCAAGACTTTTTTTCTCTAGACCCTGAAAACCTCCCATTTTCCCCCTAAATCCTTTATAAGTTTGTGTTTACAATTGCTTGTAATTCATATATTTTCCCTTGTGCGTGTCTGTTTCCTCTAATGCCATATCCAAAAGTTTCCTCCTGACTTGCCTTTGTACTTTTTTTTAAAAAGGATTTGTTTTAATTTATTTATGCATACAAGAGCTGGGGTGCAGGTTAGAGGTGCGGGGGTGTGAGAGGAGTCACCAGAGACAGAGTGGGGAGCAGAACAGCCTGACTGGTGAAGTACACTGCTGAGATGAGCAGTGGGTGAAACAGGAGAGGTCTGCCGCGCCATGTGGGTCAGCTCCCTGGCTGGGGATGGAACTCAGGCAGTGACTGGTGACAGCTTGATAGTGCTTAGACTTAACCCATGTGCCACCAGGGAGGCCTGGTGTCTGGTGACACCAGCTTTGTCTGGGGTCAGCTGGGCAAGTTTGTGTGGGACTCTTTCTGGGTTCTCCATTCTGTTCCATTTATCTTTGTCTCATTCCTGTACTAATACTGCAGTCTTGATTAACTGTGACTGTAAAATATCTTAAAATCTGATTTTATCTTAAAAGCTGGTTTCCCAGTACCACTCTTTTTTCTCAAAACTATTTTTAGCTATTCTGATTCTTTCACCTTTCCATATCAAATTAAAGGTAGCCTTTCTTGTTTCTGTCTTCAAAAATTCATGTGGGGATTTTGATATATCAAATTTGTTTATCAGTTTGGGGAAGAATTGGTATCTTTACTATGTTGCATCTTTCAGTCCATGAACATAGGATGTTTCCTCACTTACTTAGATTTCCTTTGATTTCTTTTTATCATTTTATGGTTTTTATCATACAAGTAGGTCTTCTGTACATTTTGTTTCCTCCCTCACAATGACAAGTGGTTTTGTATTTCCCATTATTCATGTGTTTGTCGCTCTAATACAGAAATAGTTGATTTTTGTAAATTCAGCATGAGTTCCTAACTTTGCTTAAAACTCACTGTGGGCTGATAGACTACATTGATTTGCAGATTCTAAGCCAGCTGTGCATCTCTGGAGTGACTCCCACGCCATCAGGCTGTTTAACTTGTGTCGTGTGTTATACCTGCTACTTTTTTGTTAGGGAATCTTTTGCATGTGTGACCATGTAAGCTTTTAAAATACACATTTTTAAATTTTGTTTTTGGCCAGCCTGGTGTTAGCTATATATGATGAATTGAGAAGTGTTCCTTATTCTTCTATTTTCTGGAAGAGATTGTATCTAAATCAATGTTGGTTTAAATATTTGGCGGGATTCTCTCATGAAACCACCTGGGCTCGAAGATGGCCTTTTTGATTTTTTAAACCCCTCTGGTTGGCTAAAGAGGCTCTGTCCCTGGATCGGGGTGGGGGTCCTCGACCCTGCTGCCCTTCTGACACCCCTGGGCCGGGCGTGGGGTGCCTTAGCAGCTCTCGGCGTGTGGCCCGGCTCTGGGTGGGGCCGTGATCGCTGTGGGGCGGGCAGCCGTCGCCCCATTTCCCGTTGGCTGGTGCCCCCCTTCCTGGTCTCTGGGCTGGAGACAGTAGGCTTTGTTGGGGGCAGTTTTTGTCTCCATACATTGCCATTTCTGGGTTGCCAGTTTTTTCAGCCTCAGATGAGGCAAGAAGAGCCCCCACCCCTCGACCCCCCCGCCGGTCCCCAAACCATGGTGCCATTCCTTGATTCCCGAGGTGCCCGCTGCTTTGCCTTCTCTCTGCCTTCCAGAGACTGGTGCACTTCATGGAGGAGTGGGAAGAAGCACATCTATTTTTCCTGGAAGTATTTAAGAGTGGATCAAGAGCCCCGCCTTTTTCGTGAGAGCCCCCTTTCTGGGTTAGGACAGACCCGGCTCCCTTCCTCCTCCTCTTACCTTTCTTTTTCTGCCTGCTTATATTTTGCCTGTGTAGGGTTTGAGCAGCTCCTTTCCCAGACCCCAAGGGTGCTTGTTTGAACCCAGCGAAGGATCTCTTGTTCTG